GATTAAAAATTTATTATAATGGAAAAACATGCTTATAACCCATTAAATGTAATCTTTTTTTTCTCCAAAACAGGATTTTTCAAAACGGCGAATTTTCAATTTTTTCATCCGAATTTTTTTTCAATATATTTAAGATCACAGTCTAAAAAAAAAGCATAACATATGTTTGGCAAATTAATTTAAACATTTGTTTTTAATAAGAAGATTGCCTTTTTTTGAGTGAAACATCGCACTTTTCCATTCAAATACTCGCCAGCTATACAAACCCTAGTATTTTTAAAATGTTACCTCATTTAATTCAAATTTGCGCTTGTTGTGAAAGTTTCTCGCGAGAGAGGCTTTGGTATTGAAATTTTTTAATATATTCTCAAATTTTTTTTTTTTTTTCATATACAAATATGTGGTTAGTAAACTTCTCGAGTATTATTATTCTATTACCTTTTCTTCTCCGAAAACATTGCCAAAAATACGCTTTTTTTATGCGTTGGCTTGTCACAAATTTACAAATGTGTAATATAAAATGGGGACATAGATATAAAAAAAGTTAAACTAACTGGTAATCATCGAGAAGTGGTGTTGGTTATGATAACTTTTTTAAGTCAGAGAAGAATGAAAAACTGGCAAGCATGCCAAACATATTTTCTTATTAAACGAAAAAAATTGGATGAACTCGACGTAATAATTGGATACTTGAAACAAATAAATAACTAACCACTTGAATTGCAATCGAAAATAGAACGTAGCAAACGTTGGATTACGGAAAACATAAAAATGACTAACAATTGGAAAAAGAAGAAATCATATAGCGTTTACATTAACAAAATTTATAAGCTCATAAATAAACACATTTAAATTGAAACCGTCCATGATTACCAAAGTACCCACTTGTAATCGTGAAAAGTAAATATGAAAATTATCTGAACAGAGAAGACAGCATGGAGAATTACTAATTAATGTTGCATAAAAACATGGAGACTTTTGCATAAATACAGAATTATTATTTCTCTAGATTATAGAAGGCTACGTCTAGCTTCACTTTATCTCCATATAAGGAGTTGCTCTTCATGATAACCCCTCTATATGTGGCCTCTAAGAAATAGACCTATTTGATCAAAATTCCCTACCGTTAATTTTTTTTGCTAAATTACTACTATGGGCCAATTTTCATCATAAAGTATTAAATATGAAGTGCTTACTATTCGTGAGAAATCTTATATGGAGTCGGATCTTAGAAGTAGACCCATGTGATTCACGTTTGGTCTACTTAATTTTTATGTCAAATTACTTTTATGAACCAATTTTCATCGTAAATCGTTACATGCGGTGTTGTCCAAAAAATAGACCTACATGATCCAAATTAGGTAAGATTGATTTCTTTGCCAATTTACGATTATGTGCCAATTTTTGAAAATTAGACCTTACCATATGGAGCTTCAGTTTTTGGAAAGGTTATATAACACAGGATTCAAAAAATTGCCCCTGTCGTACAAAATTTTTCTTCCATATAATAATTTTCAAAACTAAGGCGTTATATGGGGACTGGTCGAAAAATGGAAATGATACTGAGTCCATCGATTGGTGATTGGTGTATCTTAAGCTTACCTTTTGGATGTTACAAATGTCCATACAAAGTTAATACACCCTTTACCACAAGTGATGTAGGATATAAAGAGATATGCATGGTATGAATGCAGTAAAATTCATTAAATATTGGAGCTAAATGCGCATTATTTTACTTGTTTTGGTCGGAATAACTATCACCACTATTAATACGCTCCAAGCAAACGTTTTGTGACGATAACCAATCATATAGTCCTGAAATTTTGTATATACTTTGTCATCTAGTAAAAGCTAAAACCCATGAAATATCGTTAACACCTGAACAACTTTAGCGGAAACAGACACCTTCCACAAATACTTGTCGCAGAAGAGCTCAACTTTAAAAAAAACCAAAATTATGCCCACCTTTTTTACCTTTACCTTAGAAATTAGGTATCTAGTATTGGCTCCGAGGTGAATGTAGCTTTCTTATTTGTAGGACAATCATTAGGGAATCTATTGCAAAACGTCGCTTTCTAATTTTTTATTCTGTTGAATAATGAAATTATATTTTTCGACAATTATTATTAATTAAATTGTTGACTTTTCAAGAGCGTCAAGAACTTCTGGAGCACAATATTTCGCCAAATTTCAAATCGTCTATCTACAAATTAGGCATAAACTTTGGATATTTATTATAGTGACGACATTTCGACAAAATGCGATACTAACAAAAATTTGAGGAATATTTCAGAAGATAAGCATAGACAATCTGATCATGTGATTGCGTAGAGAATCCACGCTTAGCTTACAGTGTATCGTGTACTGCAGAACAAACCTATAAACGCACAAATATAGTTAATGTTTGAGGATAATTACAGATTGCAGATTACATACAAAATGACAAGGAATATTTACGTCTATGTATACCTAAGTTTTAGGTGTCTCAATTAAGCGTTTGATTTGGCTAAAATTTTTAGCTTGACCTTCAAATTTGACCAAAAAATGAATCCGCCACATGCGTTGTTTATGTGTACTTAATGCTTCTATTCGTGGAGGTACAGGTTTGGGTGATTTTCTGAAGAAAGGGTTTAAAATACATTAGCTCTCAAGTTGAAGTTTTTCATTTGTTTTTGAAATTTGTTTGAAGGCAACGCCTATCCTCCAAATGAATCCCGAGGTCCCTTGATTTTACGTTCCTAAGTCATTTTTTTACTTTTAAAAATCTTAAAAGTAAACCCGTATTTTGAGTTAAAAGGATTTAAATAACTTTGAAATGTACCAAAGTAAGCTGTTCACATGTCAATTAAGGTAAATATTCATAGCGTCAACCCGCAGTTAAAGAAAATTGGCGCACGCGTAGTAAGAAAATTAAATTTAAATTATATATGATGAACGCGGCTAAAACTCCATAATTGTAGCGATGTGGTAGCTGTACGGCATGGTAAGAGTAATAGAGACTTTACTAACTAACAATAATAATTATTGCCGTCGCGAGCAAAAAAAAGATATCTTTCGCTGTCAGCTGCACGAAATCTTAATTTGGAACGGGGTGAAAATGAATGTATGTCGGATTACATCAACAGGTGTATACGGTTCCTTTGAAAATTTATCTATATGTTTTCTGTTTACATTTATATCTGCTCTATAGGTTTTGAGGATTTTCTTTGGATATGATCCTCTTCTCCTTGTTTTATTTCATATTAACGGGTACGTTTTTGAGCCAACCAAATTTTTTCTCAGTTAGCATGTGATCATCCTTCAACAACCATAATTATTGTACGTTTGAGTTTTATAGTTACAAGTAGTTCCTTCCTCCATTACCACGCGTAATGATTACTTAACAACAAAGTCGAAATACAAATTTTAAATAAGTAAAAGATCCTTACGGCGGTTCCAAAAAAGCCTGTTGATTGTGGAAAAAATGTAGATAATGGGATATGATGATTCACGACACACCTAGAACGACCTACTTCATTCTTTGGTTCGTTAAAAGATCCAACTGTGAGAGCCACGCGACTGAAATTACTTGAAGTAAATCCCTACATCACTGATGGCAAAATTTTTTAATGCAATTTGATTAATTTAATCTCACGCTGAGACATTATATCTCCTAAGTCTCATTCTCTTTAAAAAATACTCCGAGAAGTATAATTTAACACGTTCCGTGCCATTTATCAAAGAAAAGAAACCGGGATTCGTGATATTTTATAATTAGCACTTAGACTATTTTATTAAACTAATGTCTTATTCTCGTATATATATCTTTCTTATATGGTGCAATTTATATTTAATACTACTTTTTTATTATACTTTATTTTAATATATTATAATGTATTAGTAAAGATATAGGTAAAAAAGATTTGTAAATGCCTTTCCTTCATATATGTTCCAAAGAAAAGGTTAGGCAAGAAGCGCGTTGAAAAATATTTAATATAAATTTCATTGGTGCCTAAATAATTTATTTTACTCTTTTTATTTTATATTGTTCCTTTTATTTAACTTAGGACCCGAGTAAGTATTGGAAATTCCATTAAGTATGCAAAAAAAAAAAAAAAAAAAAAAAAATTCGTTGCGTAACCTTATACACTTTTTCGTTGTTGAAAATCTGTCTTTAAACTACATTTAAAAATGTGTTACATTTTTTCTTAACAATAAACAGACTCAAACTCTTTCCAACAAAAAGATTGAAAATTTAAAAACAATTTTGCAAACAATGCACTGTGATGGATGCTCTTTGTAAAAATGTGTTTAATCGGATTACTTGCATACTTATATAATTTTTATTTTACTCGAATATATAAAAAAAAGAGATATTTTTCAATAAAAAGGAATCTAATTTTGGAGTGGACAAAAACTTTCCCTATAGACAAAGCAGTTTTATGTGGATATTGCTTACAATGTACTACAAATTAACTAAATTCCTTCAGTTTGTGCACAATTTTCAAACGTACATAAAGAACACTAAAACAAGTGAAAATGTTAGACACTATTCGCACGCTACAATAAGTAATTTGCTAGTGTTGTAAGAAATCAAATACGCTTTTTCTTCTAACTTAACTGTTAATGTTTTAGACTATTAACTCTATACTATACTTTCGTAATATAGATGCTACAAGAATTAGATAATACTTGACACGCTTTTTATCTTGAAAACAACATATGCCTCAGTAAGCCACGCACCCTTCTTTCAAATCAGAATAGTGATTTAGAAAGTGAGAAAAATTGAATTAAAACTTACATTAATCACGCGCACATCTTCATTTAACGTAACGTCAACTGAAAGTTGTCTTAATTATTGAAAAAAATAATGTTGAGCTTTGTTGCCGCGCGTGTTTTATATGCAGTTAATGGTCTGGCTGCATTTATTTCTTTCTTTTCTATTCGCTCACTGTCTGCCTCTCATTAGCAATATCAGTGTATCTCTATCCATTTGACTCTGCTTAGTTTTTCTCTCTCCCTTCCTTCATTTCTGATGCATATTTGTGTATTAGAATATTAGAATTTCAAATTGTGTTTGTGGAAATCAAATGATATGCGTTCACCTTCTATCTGCTAATTTCGTGTGATTAATACTACTGTTCTTTTGTGGCAATCTATAGGATGCTATTGAACTTCCATTCGTAGGACCATTTGATTTTAACTTCGGATATTTCCTCAGCAATGGCATAGGCTTTAGGAGAAAAACATATCTTAAGGCTTTAAAAACTACAAAAAATGTTACAGCTAATTTGCATATTGGAGACATACTGTACAGTATGAAGCTTTTAAAATAAATCGCAGAAACTTGATCGATGCAACAGTGTACACTCTCTTGTAACTGGGTTATAAAATGCAGCGCAATTGCCGTGGTATCAATACTTTTCGATGAAAGTATAGCCTTTAAAATTTCGGTCGTCCAATCAATAAAAAATATTCGGCTTACCATATTACTTGCGCCACTGTTATACGTAAGCTCTTCGTTTTTGACAACTTCGTTGGGGTGTTTTTCATAGTGGTCATCTGTAGGTGCAAAAAAAGAGAAGAAAATAAGTTATTAAGATGCTTTATTCCCACTTCAAATTTACAAACTAATCGTTGCCAATGAAAATAATTTTTAAAACCAATTTTTCAGATTAGCAGCGCATAGTTTACTGTTACTCATAAAACTTAAAGGACCATTATATATAAATATAAACTTATGTTGATAAGCATGCTGAAATATTATTTGTGTTCATTTCGGGCCACAACGAACAAACGAAATAAAATTTTTGAACAATTTTTTTCCTTCTTTGTGTAGAAAAAAAATTGTAGTATGTAAGTAGTTCACTCGACACTTTTAATCGCTGAAAGCAAAATTTAATAGTTGCAGTTACCAGTGATTATGAAGAGAATGCGCTATTTCTTCTTCAATGAATGCTAATATGTTTAAATACGCGTTTGTTTCTGCCAATATGCTTTTGGATTGACGAACAAGAGACGAATATTACCTTTAAGACGAATTTTTAGCAACAGCTATTTTTTTTTTTTTTTTGTGTGTTCAATTTTGACCGATACCATTTTTATATTATCCTATCAGATGGTAATTGCTCATACTTGCGCTAAATTTTAGCTCGATTTATAATATTTGACAGTGCAGAATATTAGACGATTTTGAGCTGTCTGTGTTGTAAACTTACCAGAAAGGGACAATTGGTTGACATAGATATGCTTTTATCTACACACAGATATCCAAGATCTCATGAAATACATAAATTATCGATTAGCAAGAAATTTTTAACCTATTTAACCATCCGTCTGTTAACCAGATGTTTCTAAAGAACTCAAGTTTGGAAAAATTAAGATGGAGGCCAGAAGTCTAACCCGGACTTGATTAGTTAAGGGGTCTCTTTCAAGTTTGAAAATGAGTTTATTTCGCAAAAATCTTAAACCTATAAATCATTAATTCACAAATATAAAAATTATGTCCAAAAGTGTTCCTCAACGGTCTACTTCTACAACAAATACAAACAAATATTTTGCTATATTCACGTGTTCGTTTAAGACATTAAAGATTTGCTCTAAGGTGAATACATTTCCGTTAGCCAAGCACTGCAGGAAAAAAATTGAGCTTTACAATTTATCATAGGTGCTTATCTAAAGGAGATTAACATCCCGAAATAAGTGAAAAAAGGTTCCGCCCACAAACAGGTGGAAAATATGCAGAAAATTTTAGCTTTTACCACTTAAGAGGCATGAATTTAAGACATGGTACAAATATTTCTTAGGACCAAATGAAAGATCAACCAAGTCACGCTCGTATGAGAATAAAAAATTTTTAACAAACATAGGTACTAGCTGAAAGGAACCTGTATGTTTAATGAAGAAAAATCACTCAGTGATTTTATTGTCCAAGCTTAGAGCCTATAAAAAATAGTTTAGGATAAATGCAACACTCCGCGAATAATGGTACCACAACTAATACAATTTAAAAGCTTTAAGAACAAGAAGAACACATATTCCCAGTAGAAGATTAATGCATATCTATCCAGAACTTTTCAGTATATTATATCAATAGAGCCCTGACATTCGGGCGCTGTCTTTCTTGTTCAATAAACAACCCAATTTCTCATCTTCATTCTTACGATTGGCGCAACCTCACAAGAAAAGTGACTCGAGTTGACTCACTTCAACGGTAATAGATGTATATCATCAATATTTCGGAAATTGATATAAATAGAAATAAGTAAGAAAATTGTATTATGTCGTGACCTAATTTTTTACAACCAGCACCGGTATCCTAAAAATACAAAAAAAAAAAAATAAAAATAAAAGAACTAAACTTTCATGCTCTATTATATAAAGTGGGCGCTGCTGATTTTTTCTATTTTTCAAAAGGAAAGTATTTTTCGCACAGGCGTTTGGCCGTTTGGTGACTTTCAAATTCTTTTGCAAATTTGTAGATGATGTTCTTCGTTTTCGTCAATGGGGGAATGCTTACCATATATACTACACAGTTTGGCAGACGGACAGATGGACAGACGAACAGGCAGATATGTTTAGGTATACTCAAAACTTGAAACTGGCTAAAAATTTATATACTTTATAAGATTTTTGAAGGTTGTTTCTGCGCATTATAACGGTATTGAAAAAAAAAAAAAAAAATTTGTACTATACACTAAAACTAAATTTGCGATATACTATAATACTGGGTAGGCGCAACCAATTTCTTCTACTTTTGTACGCGTGCTGCAGCATTGCCTATAGGAGGTGCGCTCAAATCTTTGTACATTTATCTGCTATAGTTTATAAGTAATGAGCAAGAAAACAATTTTTTATTCCATTTGAAAAAAAGAGGTGTTCTCAGGTTACGTTGTGCTGTGGACGTGCTCTTCAACCGATTCGGCCCATTTTCAATACCAATCTGCGGGCAAGAACTTCCAATGTTTCTGCCAAATTTGAAGTCCATAGCTCAATTTATACGGCCAGGAGAATGTTTAAAGCAGACATTGCACAGACAGACAGACGGACATGCCTAAGTCGATTTGGTGCTGATCAACAAACGATAACGGTGATGACTTTAAAGATTCCGTCACGATCGAATATAGTTTTCTTAGTTGATAAATTTCAAACGCGACACGTTTTGCATTAAAAAGTTAGTCTTTTAATTTTCGAATGTGCTCATAACAGTGCGTCGAGTTTATCAAATGTTTTTCGCCGGAGAACACACACACAACTGTAAACATTACGTAAAAACCGCTTAATTATGTTAAAAACGTTTTCCACAAAATGTTGAAAAAATAATATAAAAATATTTGATGCTTCGAGCGAATCTTAAAAAAATGCACCTTATGGTACATGGAGGCTTGGCGGTTACCAAATATACTAGGTAAATTTCGTATGCAAACAACACACGGTCAAATTTATGAAGTTAGAGAAGTAACCAGGCATGTTTCGAAAGCTTTGTAGGCATAAGATTTCCGCAGGCCAGGAGAGTAATATTATGTTCTTCGAAAAGAAAATTTAGTCAAGTTTTTTTGACAGCTCAATAAAGTATAGTGTCGTGAAATACTGGAGGTCTACTTTTTGAAAAAAAATGCACATTAACTCTGTAAATGATTTCCTGGGAATAATTCTTCATACTTTGAAAATAAAGTCCTGTGCTTATTCGCAGCCCAGTACAGAGATCAAGCGGATTTAAGAAATATTGGTGATGGCAAGTAGAGAAAAATGGAGCATTATTTTAAACCAACACAAATACTAGAGTTGACTTAGTTGCTGTCTTTATTTCTCCATATTGGAATCAACATTTTGGCGTCAACAATTTAAGTTCTAAATTGCATCTTTTACCACCGTCAGATCGACTCTTTCGTTTCCGGTAGCAGTGTCTGTATGCAATATGTAGACGTCTAGTTGTTCTTCATTACAGATATGCTACTTTTGTATAATGAGATTGTTAGTTTATTAGTTAGTAACCTTAAAAATGCAGTTACTGAATTCTACACGCAATATTTTCGTTTATTGCATTTGAACCGCTTTTCATTGGAAACTATATCCGTAAATTAACGCGAACCAGCAGAGTATATTTGAGGGGTTGATATGATATGCAGAAGTTGTCTTGACTATGGATGGATTGAGTATTCCAGATTTCATTTCATCCTTTGCTGAAAAAATAGAATATTTATTTATTTCCGCGAAAGGAACGGAAAGTCTGCTGTTTATTTCCGCAGGGGGTATCTGTATTACTATTACTATTTAAGGAACCTAAAGGAAATCGGCAACAAATCCCAAATTTGCAGTTTTTAAAAGTGTTTTAGAAGCTACCTATTGTTTTTATTGACCCACTAAGCCATCGTCGGAATTAGTTCAATCGTATATTTCACTAGGAATGCATCATGTTTCTATACTGCAAAGAAGGATTGTGTTGAAGGGAACGGTTAAAGCAACCTTATTTTGTCTGTCATATGAAAACGTGCCTACAACTATATAATTTTATCCTCAGCTATTTTCTTACTAGCATATCTTATCTCTATAAAACAGGGCGTATACTCTTGATATCTTCAGGGTCAATGAAACAGTGGTATTCATAATCTCAAAGTTCAATCTTAAGTTAAATAAAATCTAAAAAATTACAACCTTATTGTCAAGTGGCCTAATCCATAAGAAAAAAGGAACTGTTTGAACGCTGAAAAATTCTGTTATATATATGCTAAAAGTGCGGGATGAAATACGTAGTTTTTTTTTTTAAATAATGAAAATGGTTATAATTATTTCCAATTATTATGTAACAAGCGATTTTGACCAACAAAAATATTTTTTACTCTCGCTTATTACAAAAAAGTTTTGGTGCACGAATTTAGTGAATTTACACAAACCGGGTCGAGTTAGTCGAATATGAATCGTGAGACTCAAGTCAAGAAAATTGAATTGGAATATTCAAAAGGACAAGACCAAAACGAGAATTGAAACGTTGTATATATAAATTTCGGTATATAATTTGCAAATATAACCTACACTATCCTACGAAACAAGTCAGCGGTACGAACTTTATTTCAAAGGAAGTCGATTAAATAACGTAAGATCTAGAAGACGGCTTACGTTACAATATGAATACAATTGATCTTAATTGGTACGAAAATTATACTCACCAACAGTAGCGTGATCGCTCGTCTCCTCATTTTCGGTATAAAAAAAAGAAGCGCAATGGCGTTCTTGCGCACTCAAATGTTTAAAGAGAATCGAAATTAATAAAGTTAAAGGATATGCAGACGCATTAACCATTACCGACAATAATAATAAAAGCATTGGTACTATAAATAGCGACAACTCCAACCACAACAATAACAGCAGAAATAACAACAAACCTTAGCAATAAGCAACAATAAGCTTAGTCGTAGCAATTCCATGCATTGCTGCCATCCTAAGTGGGTGTGTAACCGGATCCTATGGTAGTAGATCGCTTGATACCGACAACGCAAGGGGGCGAAAATCCATCGACCGGATCTTTGACTAGTAATGCCAATGGTTATATAATTCAACTAAGA